TGGCATCACCGCTCACGTAACCTACAACTCCTGGGCTCAAGCGAGTCTCCTGCCTCTGCCTCTTCCTCCCAAGTAGCTGGGACACAGGTGCCTGCCACAATGCCTGGCTATTTTTGTTTTTTTGGTTGCAGCCATCATTGTTGTTTGGCGGGCCTGGGCTGGATTTGAACCCACCACCTTAAGTGTATGTGGCTGGCGCCTTAGCCACTTGAGCCACAGGCGCCGAGCCCAGCTATTTTTTTGTTGCAGTTGTCATTGTTGTTTAACAGGCCCAGGCTGGTTTTGAACCCACCCGCCTCAGTGTATGTGGCTGGTGCCCTAACCACTGAGCTAGAGCACCAAGCCATTGTTTGAATGTTTGTTTTCAATTTTTTTTTTCTCAGTTTTTGGCTGGGGCTGGGTTTGAACCCGCCACCTCTGGCATATGGGGCCAGCACCCTACTATTCTGAGCCACAAGCGTTGCCCTTTTTTTTTGTAGAGACAGAGTCTCGCTTTATCCCACTTGGTAAAGTGCCATGGCATCACACAGTTCACAGCAACCTCCAACTCCTGGGCTTAGGCTATTCTCTTGCCTCAGCCTCCTGAGTAGCTGGGACTACAGGCACCTGCCACAACAACTGGCTATTTCTTTGTTGCAGTTTGGCCAGGGCCGGGTTTGAACCCGCCACCCTTGGTATATGGGGTCAGTGTCCTACTCACTGAGCCACAGTCACTATGCTGTTTTCAATTCTTTTGGATGTGTACTCAGGAGTGAAATTCTGGGTCATATGCTAACTTCATGCTTAGTTTATTGAAGAACTGCCAAACTTCCACTGCAGCTGCATTATTTTACTTCCCCACCACCAGCAGCGATGTCTGAGGGCTCCAGTTTCTCCACATCTTTACCAATATTTGTTCTTTCTTTTTTCTTTTCTCCCTTCCTCCTTCCCTCCCTCTCTCCTCTCTCCCCTTCCCATCTCCTCCTCTTCCCTTAGTTAGCATCTTACTGTGTTGCCTAGGCTAGAATTCTGTGGCATCATCATAGCTCATAGCAACCTCAAACTCCTGGAAATGATCCTCCTGCCTCAGCCTCCCAAGTAGCTGGGCCTGCAGGCCTCCCCTACAATGCCAGCTAATTTTTCTATTTTTAGTACAGAGTGGGTCTCACTCTTGCTCAGCCTGGTCTCAAACTCCTGAGCTCAAGAGATCCCCAGCCTTGGCCTCCCAGAGTGCTGGGATTACAAACGGGTGCTGAGATTATAAATCGATATTGGGACTATAAGCATCAGCCACTGCCCACTGCACCTATGCCAATGCTCATTATTTTCTGTTTTTATTTTCATTTTAGCTACCCTAGTGGGTGTGAAGTGGTATCTCATTGACTTGGTTTTGGTTTGCATTTCTCTAATGACTAAAAATGTTGTGTATCATTTCATGTGCTTATTGGCCACTTGTATGTCTTCTGTGGAGAAATGTCTATTTAAGTCCTTTGCTCATTTAATTTTTTTCTTTTCCTCAGTGCCTGTAGCTCAAGCAGCTAAGGCGCCAGCCACATACACCAGAGCTGGCAGGTTTGAATCCAGCCCTGGTCTGCCAAACAACGACAACTACAACCAAAAAATAGCCAGGCGTTGTGGCAGGAGCCTGTAGTCCCAGCTACTTAGGAGGCTGAGGCAAGAGAATTACTTAAGCCCAGGAGTTGGAGGTTGCTGAGAGCTGTGATGCCACAACACTCTACCCAGGGTGACAACTTGAGGCTGTCTCAGAAAAATAACAATGGCTCTGCACTTGTAGCTCAAGCAGCTAAGGCACCAACCATATACACCTGAGCTGGCAGGTTTGAATCCAGCCTGGGCCGTCAAACAACGATGACTGCAACCAAAAAATAGCCAGGCACCTGTAGTCCCAGCTACTTGGGAGGCGGAGGCAGGAAAATCACTTGAGCCCAGGAGTTGGA